AAAATAATAATAATAAACTGTGCTGATTTATGACCATAACACACTCTTAGGAGTGTTAGGTGTCCAAAGGCCCTCTTGTGTGCAAAACAACTCTCTTACGCTAAAAATTCAGGATTTGTCATTACCAGTTCAAAACCATCACTTTAGAATTAGCAATGGATTAGGCTGTTCCTGAGAAGTTACTAGAGTGACGAGCAGGCAGCATAACAAAATATTACTTTTATACAAAAGTTCAATAATCAAAAAGTTATTACTGAGTAACCTTTTAGACACAATATTGCCAGTCACTTTCTCTATTTTTGCTTTGTAATGTGTATATATATACTGTATATATATATATATATATATATATATATATAAATATATATATATATATAGGGCAAATAATCGGGGCAGTTGTGACCTAATGGTGTGCTGCGGCTTCTGTCGCTTCTCTGAGAAATCACTCTCGAAGTCTTGAGGTTTTGATGCCAGAAGATAGACTTTATTATCAGAGACGATGAATCTGACGATCTGCAGAGAATCTGTCGAGTCTGTGTCTGCACACTCTTTAGATAGAGTTTTTCCTCAAGGCGTGTTTAACACATTTCAGTGACTCTAGAGCAGTTCTGGAGATGTTGTTCATGTTTTTACGTCCTCATTTAGTGAGACGGCAGACGCTGAAATCAACGCGAGTGTCACGCGCGCTTCAGAATGTGTGTAGTAAATGAAACCGCGCGTCTGCACCATTCATTAACAGAGACAGGCAGAACATGCAGGATTCAAATTTAAATCGTCTATTGCGGCTTAATGTTTACAGATACTAGTCCATATCGTGATTTGATTTAAGTGTAATGACCTACTTTTGATTAATTCATTCCAAATTTGACAAATTCCGCGACATTCCGCGTTAAACTGTGAATTCTGTTTTTATGACTTATGAACGAGCCAGTGTAATGCAAATATGTCTGAAAGGTCTGCGAGAGGATATCGTCACGTGCCACGAGATCTCGTCACACCCCTAGTAATGACAAGCTGACTGTGCCTTATCCTGCTTATTACACGGACATTACACATTATCCTGCTTATTACACTTTAAAAAAAAACATGGATATGAAATATTGATTTGAGAATAAAATATTGCTTTATGTGAGAAAATAGAGATTGTGGAGTGATATGAAACATTATACTAGCAAATCTATGTTAAGAGTAAATTGGTTGGACAACAGTCAGGACTGCTAACGGGTTGAATTTACAAGGATGACATGGTTCACACCATTGTGTTTAGCAACATGTGAAATTCTTGATTCTAAATGGTCAATGACAGCATTCAGTTCTCAAATATTTCAGAATAATAGCTGCTATCCGGAGCTAAACTGTATAACTGTCCACTCATTACCTGGTTTTCTACATGCAGTAGCTGTGTTTTGTCTGTCTGGGGCTTTTCACATCCCCGGGTTATTGTTGTTCTAAGCCCCACTTTTAACCCTGAGTGAAGGTATGTTTCACACTTATAATTTAGAAGCAGAGTTGGCACCACTTTTTTACCCTAGGTTATGAAACCCTTTCCAGTGATGGAAAACAGGTAAATTGGAGTGAAGAAGAGACTGTTTTATTCTACCTTTATATTCCACCGAAAAGTCCATTCAGGAAAAACTTGATAGTACAGTCTGCAATAACATGAGGATGCGCTATGCTAAGCACCAGGTTGCATGTTGCGTTTGTCCAGTCAATGACACTGATACTGCAAATATGCAAATAAAAATGTTAAAAACGTCAGTTTGTGAGTGTGTTTGTGTTGTTAACACCTGGTAATTTATGAGCAGTGTGAAACGTGAAGGAAATGGGGGAGAGCGGGGGTAACACTTTTTGACTTTCTCAAATTGTGTAAATCCACATGGGGTTCAGAGTATATATTTTTTATCCACGGTAATTTCACACTTGTCTAGTACAAATATGTCGCTTTGTTTCATAATTATAGTGTATACGTTTTTCTTTATTGACCCTCAAAAACTGGAAGTGAAATGTGACAACATGCCCCATAGGTGGGGTACATTGTAACATGACCATATTACAGCTTAAAATGTTATCTGATCGCATTAAAAAAATATACAAGACAAACTAAAATATTTTGTCAATAAAATTAAATAATGATTTATTTCAAATAAAATAATGGCGTTTTATATATATATATATATAGGGCAAATAATCGGGGCAGTTGTGACCTAATGGTGTGCTGCGGCTTCTGTCGCTTCTCTGAGAAATCACTCTCGAAGTCTTGAGGTTTTGATGCCAGAAGATAGACTTTATTATCAGAGACGATGAATCTGACGATCTGCAGAGAATCTGTCGAGTCTGTGTCTGCACACTCTTTAGATAGAGTTTTTCCTCAAGGCGTGTTTAACACATTTCAGTGACTCTAGAGCAGTTCTGGAGATGTTGTTCATGTTTTTACGTCCTCATTTAGTGAGACGGCAGACGCTGAAATCAACGCGAGTGTCACGCGCGCTTCAGAATGTGTGTAGTAAATGAAACCGCGCGTCTGCACCATTCATTAACAGAGACAGGCAGAACATGCAGGATTCAAATTTAAATCGACTTTTGCGGCTTAATGTTTACAGATACTAGTCCATATCGTGATTTGATTTAAGTGTAATGACCTACTTTTGATTAATTCATTCCAAATTTGACAAATTCCGCGACATTCCGCGTTAAACTGTGAATTCTGTTTTTATGACTTATGAACGAGCCAGTGTAATGCAAATATGTCTGAAAGGTCTGCGAGAGGATATCGTCACGTGCCACGAGATCTCGTCACACCCCTAGTAATGACAAGCTGACTGTGCCTTATCCTGCTTATTACACGGACATTACACATTATCCTGCTTATTACACTTTAAAAAAAAACATGGATATGAAATATTGATTTGAGAATAAAATATTGCTTTATGTGAGAAAATAGAGATTGTGGAGTGATATGAAACATTATACTAGCAAATCTATGTTAAGAGTAAATTGGTTGGACAACAGTCAGGACTGCTAACGGGTTGAATTTACAAGGATGACATGGTTCACACCATTGTGTTTAGCAACATGTGAAATTCTTGATTCTAAATGGTCAATGACAGCATTCAGTTCTCAAATATTTCAGAATAATAGCTGCTATCCGGAGCTAAACTGTATAACTGTCCACTCATTACCTGGTTTTCTACATGCAGTAGCTGTGTTTTGTCTGTCTGGGGCTTTTCACATCCCCGGGTTATTGTTGTTCTAAGCCCCACTTTTAACCCTGAGTGAAGGTATGTTTCACACTTATAATTTAGAAGCAGAGTTGGCACCACTTTTTTACCCTAGGTTATGAAACCCTTTCCAGTGATGGAAAACAGGTAAATTGGAGTGAAGAAGAGACTGTTTTATTCTACCTTTATATTCCACCGAAAAGTCCATTCAGGAAAAACTTGATAGTACAGTCTGCAATAACATGAGGATGCGCTATGCTAAGCACCAGGTTGCATGTTGCGTTTGTCCAGTCAATGACACTGATACTGCAAATATGCAAATAAAAATGTTAAAAACGTCAGTTTGTGAGTGTGTTTGTGTTGTTAACACCTGGTAATTTATGAGCAGTGTGAAACGTGAAGGAAATGGGGGAGAGCGGGGGTAACACTTTTTGACTTTCTCAAATTGTGTAAATCCACATGGGGTTCAGAGTATATATTTTTTATCCACGGTAATTTCACACTTGTCTAGTACAAATATGTCGCTTTGTTTCATAATTATAGTGTGTACGTTTTTCTTTATTGACCCTCAAAAACTGGAAGTGAAATGTGACAACATGCCCCATAGGTGGGGTACATTGTAACATGACCATATTACAGCTTAAAATGTTATCTGATCGCATTAAAAAAATATACAAGACAAACTAAAATATTTTGTCAATAAAATTAAATAATGATTTATTTCAAATAAAATAATGGCGTTTTTTTAAGAATTCGAAATAATCTGATTTTGGAGTTTGACAACGAACACATTGCAACCATGCTTGGGACGGCCCACATAAACGAGCCAAAATGCTTTACATGTCTTGAAATAATCATTTCTTAACATTAAACATTGACTGTCAGTCTTTATTCACCTGTTTCTCATTGTTTCTCATTAAAATGTATTAAAGTAAATAGTGTGAATTACATCGCTAATGTCATAGAATCGCACGGCGGGGCACATTGTAACGCAGTGTTACAACATACCCCATCTGCGCAACTGGAATTTAAAACTGGTTACTGTCTTCTGATAGTTAGCGAAGCACTAAACAATCATTTAAACTGATAAATAACAGATTGGAGATTAAAATAATAGCAACTTTGTCTCATTTTAAATGAGTGATAAAAACTGAGATGAAAAATTTACTTAAGCCAGAAATATTATTTTACTATGGTGAAATAAATGTTGAGCGATATCTTCAAAAGACTTTTGAATTTTGTCACACTTTTTTTTCTCTATGTAATGTTGATATAGTAACTAGTAAATGCTGTAAATCTGGTTATGCTAGCATGTGTGGAAATATTTAAACCACTTGTGTTACAACTTACCCCGCGCTACTTTGTGCCCCGCACTCCCCTAACCCAGGATTCCATTTACCCATGGTTTAGAATGACCCAGGGTAAACTATTTCAAGTGTGAAAAGCCTTTCTGTTTCGCTCTGAATATTTCATGTACATGTATTTTTGTATTTGTTAAGTGGCCATAATAAAGTACAGTTAGACTGTCATTTTAGCTAGGCCTAAATACATTCCTACAAGGTGATCCCAGTCTGATATTATTCTGCAGTAATACCTGACTGCCTGCACACATACTTGAACATAGCTAAGTTTGAGGAATAAATGTTTAACCGGCTTGCCATACTTGTTCATTAGATATGAACTGTACGGGACGGTCCGACTGTGTCTTTAAAAACTCCTGAAAGCGGTCGAGAATGATGTCAGACTGAACGCGAAATCACTTCCTGAACAGAGAGAGAGAGAGAGAGAGAGAGAGAGAGAGAGAGAGACTCAGACCGAGGCAAATGGGGAGAGCTCTGGCGTTGTAGGGAGAGAGCAGTGGAGGCGAGGAGGGTCTGGCTGAACACGGACCCCGCTGGAAACTTCACATCCACAGAAATACACCGCTACAGAGAGTCGGGCTCTTATATGGAGGAGAGACTCGCCGGGTAAATATATGACACGCATCATGTTTGAGTCTTGATGGCAGGACTGCATGACGCATATGGGGCCATATTTTATTTCCTACTTCATACATTTCTATGATTCAGAGTCACTGATGGAGATCAGATTTCAGTGCGGGGGGGGATCTGAAAAACTTGAGTTCGTTTTGACCTCGTGAACATTAATGCCTTAAATTCAAGTCATTTGTTTTGGCTTATGAAAGTCGTTTAAAAGTAAAAGTGGCAGTGAAGGAATGCAGGTGAATTCGGTTATATGTGTTTTTGCGAGCAGAATGTGAGTTTTTTTTTTTGCAGAATTATGATGATGATGTTGATTGTGCAGACTGCAGACCATCACAAACACTGTTATTACTTACTTTTGCAAAACTGCCTAAGGCCTGTCAAGTAGTGTTTTTGGACATGCCACCATATGGTAGGCTACTACCAACATTGGTACCAAGGTATGATGTTTATCTGGAAATGGTAGCATCGTCTCTCATGTTTTTGGGCTGTGATATTCTTTGAAGAACCTTGGAGTATTTGAATACAGAAAACAAATATTATGTAGAAAGATCAATGTTTGTTTGTTTTTCTTATACAGATTGAAGTCACAGCTGTATTTACATTTCATTTGATTTGCTTTATTCTGTGACCGCATATGCTGACAGTCTCCAGTTGCAGCTTTTTTTGTTAATAAATGAAGTCCATTGTAGCATGGATCCTCAGCAGTTGATTTGTTCATTGAAACCGGATGTCATTTTGAACTCTGAAACCACATGAACAGAGACACGGCCGCCGCACACACTCAATGAGATCTCAAACTAACGGTTTGAGTTTGATTTGCAGTTCATAGTGTGTTCAGGCAGGTCTGGGGCTGATCTTTAGTTTCGGTTGAGTGAGTGTTTGTTGCTTTAAGATTATTCAGACGATGACTAAATTGGAGAAAGGAAGTTTGGTCAGAGGAGAGAGTGTATAGCCACATGGAGTGTGTGACTGTTGCGTGCTGCTGTCTGGTTTCCAAGACACGTGACTGTGCACAATGCCTCCTTTCCTATGCAACTAACATGTGCTCCATGGCATTTCCTGCATAAGATCTCACTCTCTCCATCTAGATGATATCGAACAAATATTGTATGTGTGCATGCACAGTAAGTCGTTTTAACAGAATAGTGTGCTCTCAGTGTCATATATTCCTTACCAAAAGAAAGCCTTGCTGCATTACCAAATGTCTGCTTTTCTGGGTTCCTCCTCAGAGGTAGTATTTTGAGGTCGTTTTTGGACTATGGTGGTGTATTTCCAGGCCCGGAGAGCCACATGGCTTCTTTTCACAGCAACACACTGTTGTAAAATCCACACCAGCTGTTACTGCAGATGAGCTGAATATGAATACATCACTGTTTTGATGCACATATGAGTCCTAAGAATGTGCTTACAGACTTGCAAACAGTGATTTATAGTTACTCAAAATATCGATCAAAATGTTTGTTAGTTGCAGGCCCACATGACATTGACAGTTTTGGTTTGTAAATGTCTCTTGAATAGCTATGGTTTTTTCTCTATTCACTAAACAAACAGTGGTCACACATCCTTGCTGGGAGTGAACCTGTATTTAATATTGTGTTGTCTTTGACCTTCTGTATTTTTGTAGATGGTTTTTGAAGATGAGGGTGTATCACGCAACCTGTCAATGTTGGAAGAAGTGTTATTTTAGCAGAATTTAAATCATTCTTATAGTTTTGCTTAATCATTTGAATTTGTTTTTATTTTATTTTTTTCATTTTCATTTTAGTTAAAATATTTAGTCATTTTGCTGTGTGCTTTGTCATTTTTGTGTATTATTGTTTATTTTTTAACATGTCTATGCAGTTGTATTAATTTTTATTTCAGTTTGAGTTAGTTTGGTACATCACGTTAAAGTAAATGAAATTAGATATATACAAAATTGTTGTTTTAGTTAAAAAATATTTTTTAATGGTTTTAGTTTTATTTAACTACAGTAACCATGGTTTGTCTAATCTAACTAGCTTTTATAAACAGAAAATGAATTTACTTCCTGAGTTGACATCAACAATTAAAGATACACTCTAAAAAATGCTGGGTTAAATGCAACCCAGTGCTGGGTAAAATAGGGACAAACCCAGCGATTGGGTTGTTTTGACCCAGCGGTTGGGTTAAATGGTTAACCCAACCTTCTGGGTAGTAACCCAACCTCTGGGTCAAAACAACCCAATCGCTGGGTTTGTCCCTATTTTACCCAGCACTGGGTTGCATTTAACCCAGCATTTTTTAGAGTGTAGGGTAGTGTTTTTTCCTGACTTTTACAAGTCCATTTATTTTGCCATCCTAGCTATGCATGGCTGAATGTTTAGTTGCATTTTAAGATTTGCAATTATTATAGTTTTTTCTGTCATTGCTGGGTCACGACAGCTCATTGGCCAGTTTGACTGTATTCTGAAGCAATATCGTCATCCGTGCATCGTTCTCACACAATATACAAGGCCATGTTTCTCGGGCTCAATGCATGCCTTTAAGAGCGCTGTCTTTGGTTTGGCCAGCTGCCACATCCCTGATGACGCGCAGCAGCTGTATTTTTGCACTGTGTCCTGAGTTGCCTTCCCGAGGCCTCGCACTACCAAACATTCCACATGGGGCTGAAGAGCCAACCGGGGGTTTGTTGGGTTTGCCTGAAGTGCTCTCTGGGCCGAACCCTGACAGCCCCCTTCACTGAAAGCCTTATCTGAATACAATGAGCACGCTCTGTACATCAGTAATTAGATCTCGGGCCTAGAGACTCTCGAGATGTGCTGTGATGAATCTGTCGTTCTGTATGATGTGCGCACTACACCATCGGTCACATGCACTTCATGGACCTTTTGTTTGTTGAGAACAGACTTAAAATCTTAAGAGTATTTCGCACTGATTCACTGCAAACTGATAAAGGCATTCTGGCACATCTGTGTGCCGTTTGTGCTAGAAAATATCAAGACTTTTGTATTTATTTATCATTAGCTTACTGCTAAACGAGAGAGCAGTGCTCCACAAATGGGGATTTTTAGTGGCCAATTCCTAAAACTATTATTTTATTTATAATTATTATTTCATTGTTAAACTATTCATCCCAAATAATAAAACAAAACTTATTTCAACCCACAGTATGATTGGTATTACAATATTATTTTAAAGGGGTCATATGATGCGATTAAAATTTTTCCTTTCTCTTTGGAGTGTTACAAGCTCTTGGTGCATAAAGAAGATCTGTAAAGTTGCAAAGACTAAAGTCTCAAATCCAAAGAGATATTCTTTATAAAAGTTAAGAGTCAGCCACGCCTACCTAAAACGGCTCGTTCTAACACGCCCCCACATGTCTACGTCATAATGTGTGAAGATTTGCATAACACAGCCCAAATGTTCACGCAAAGAAAGAAGGCGTAACTTTTATTCTCGCTGTAGTATTGTTGTTGCCGCTACCATGTCGTGAAGGCACTTTGTGTTTCGTTGTGAAAGCGAAACTACTTTGTTTGGCCTTCCAAAAGAGGACGATATCTGCTTCGTCATGCCTGGAGCTGATCCGTGCTGGTCGCTGAGGAAATACAACAACTTTGCGCTGTCGATCGCCGGATCGGCTTTCACCGTGGACGAACATGTGTCACATGTGGTTGCCGCAAGCCTCCTTCGTCGAATCCGCCGCACCATTCTCAAGCCCGCCGCCTGTGCTCACTCTAGGCCGCCGTGTATGATGCTGTGTTTCGTTGTGAAAGCGAAACTACTTTGTTTGGTCTTCCAAAAATGGACACGACTAGAAATCAGTGGTTAAGTTGTATTTACAACACTGTTCCAGAACACTTCAACCCAAATATTCAGATGTGTGCAGCACATTTTATGAAGGACTGTTTACTGATCCTGGGAGAGTAGACTATAATGCCGGCTGTTCTGACTCACAGTCTGTAAGTAAGTTTTTTTATATTTAAAGAGTTTTTATATTTTATATTTTTTATATTTAAAGCGAGTTTTTTGGGCAGTGTAGATCACAAATGCAGACATGGTTTTATGTTCGCGCGATGCAACGCAACACGTAAAAAGACAGTATAAGTCATTATAATCCGTAATTATGTCCCCACTGGATGCAATGAATGCCTCGTTTATAATGGGTTTTCATGTTTTTGAATCATCGGTCCGGCCTGACAGGGCATCATCACAGTATGGTAAGGGGCGTAACATTTCCGTCACACGCTTGAGGTATTCGGCCAATCATAACGCACTGGATAGCTGGCCAATCACAGCACACCTCGCTTTTCAGACCGATGAGCTTTGTAAAAATCGACGCGTTTCAGAAAGGCGGGGCATAGAGGAGAAACAAAAGCAGCATTTCTCATTTTCATTTAGTTTAACTTGATGTAATAAAATAGCTCAAACTAAAACTGAAATGAAACTATATAGACATATTTAAACATAAATGATAACTAATAAAAATGACAAAAACAACAAAATTGCTGAAACTTTAACTAAAATTAAAACGAATTCAAATCATTAAACAAAACTATAATAGCCTAATCTCAATAATCTCATACGTAAATACATACATACTTTTATTTATTTAATGAATTAATGAATTAATTCATTCATTTATTCATTTATTTATTTATTTTAATAACCCCTGACAAAAAATGTTTTCTACCAACCGTGTAATTGACAAAATGTTTCTGGGTTTAAGATCGATGCAAAACTGAACCTCAGCTCTCAAAACTCATTGCACCACACTGCGTTATTTACAGTAAGTTTTCTTGCGCTCTGTGCCAAGAACAATATTTTTTCTTTAAAAGAAAAAATAACAGAAATGTGTTTTTCCCGTAATGGAGTTGAACTGTTGAGCTTGATGATGCCAATATGAGTGAAATGCTGATAAAGACCCCAAAAAAGTAATTACTCTTTCAAAACATGTTTTGTTCCAGCCCCGTTACATTCAGAGTGTTTCGGGGTTGAATGTTACAAGGTCGAATATTGGTGCA